CGCGCGGGGTGTTTGCCTCCCCCGCAGAGCCGGTCGCTTTTGTTCAGTTGGAGCCGCGCCCGGGTTCCCGAGGTCCCCGAGGTCCCCAGGGCTCGCCAGGCGCCGGGGCGCACGGGATCCGCTGTCCTTGCGCCGCTGCACCGCGCCTGACCGCGCGCACCCCGAGACACCCCTCGGCGAGCCGCGGGGCGTCGCCCGGGGACTTGCTGGGGTCTGGGGTTTAACCGCCGCCTGCGGGTGGGGCTTGGACGTCAGTGCGGAGCCGAGAGTGTGTCAGAGCGACAGGACGCGGCAGCCCCTGCCCTGCTCGCGGCTGCTCCAAACCGAAAGTACGGGACAGGTGTACCGACCTTCTTCTTAAAATGCAGTTGGTGCAGAACCCTGGCGGTGTCCAAGAAGTGGTTAAAAACTAAATCCTGGCCGGGCGTGGTGGGGCACGCCTGTGATGCCAGCACTCGGGAGGCCGAGGCAGGAGGAATGCCGTGGGTTCGAGCTCAGCCCTGGGTACATAGTAAGTTTAAGGCCAGCCTGAACTACATAGTGATACCCTGTCTCAAAATGAAAAAAGGAAAGATTTTGAAAGAAAAAGAAAAAGCAAGCCAACCAGGTCTCTATAAAACTGGCCTGTCTGTCCTCAGCGTGTGCTTGAGCGATTAGGGTTGGGTCTGCGCGTTGGTGTCCGTTGTTTAGATTCTTTGTGCGGTGGCCGAGCGCGGCGGGAACGGGAACCCGCGCGGCAGCCAGGCAGGGAGCTCGCTTCACGGCACCTGCTGCGGGTGACGGTCACCCGAGCCAAACCACATTGGCTCTGCGGGCTCTGCGCGTACCGAGAAAAAGAGGCCCGTTATGCAGGCAAAAGCTCAGCAGCAGTTTTCACCTCTGCCGGCCAGTGAGCCGCGCAGGGAAGGTGCTGCCCACACGGTGTTTAAATAGGAAGAGCTCTGGGTGTTATTCTGTGACTATACTTCCCGGCTTGTCTCTTCAGCCTTGTACTTTAAACTCCAGGCCTACACGTAGCCGAGTCCAGCTGCTGATGTTTCCCCAGCTGAGCTGTCTAGGGTGCAGCTCATCCACAGAATATCCAAGGCCAATAGAGACGAGTGCAGCAGCTAACCCTAAAAGACTATTGATGAGCTCAGGGTCAGCATAGCCCAGGGATCAGTACGTTTAACATGGGTCTTTATTAGCATTAAACTTTGCAGTTGTGACACGGATGAACAGTGAGTCTTGAAAGCTCCTTCCACAGAAGAGAAGTGGACAGCTTTGCTGTTGTAATTATCCGCCTGCAGTGTTCCCCGGGCTTGTGGTGACCTCTGGACATAATTTACTGCTTCTACCGAAGGACAATACAGATTTGCGTAATGTTGTGTTTTTGTTTAATCTTGTTCTTTGTTAAAGTGAAGAGGAAGCCAGCCAAGGGGAAAAGTAGTCATAAAAGAGCATAATGAGGGCAGGATAGATGTGTTGCCTCACTTTACTGGTCTTTGTTTTGACAAATCTGCGTCCATTGTTCTGGCTGGGGGCAGAATGTCTGTACCCCTCCTCAGGTCTCTTCCACTTTACAGATGTCACCCAGGACCCCTTCTGCCCTGGAGGCTGTCGGTGTAACACCGATTGTCTGTTCTAAATGAATTCCTCTTTTCCACTGAACTTAAGTTGGGACGTGAGGAAATGCAAATCGAACCTGTCTGCTTTATTTTTTTTTTTTTATTTTTATTTTTATTTTTTGGTTTTTCTCCGGTACCGGGAACCGAACTCACGACCTTGCACTTGCCAGACAGGCGCTTTGCCGCTGAGCAAAATTTTTTTCTTTTCTTTTTAAGACAGTTTCTGTGCAGCTCAGGTTGGCCCTGAACTCACTTTGTAGCCCAGGCTGGCCTCAAACTCAAAGTAATCCTCCTGCCTCAGCCTCTCAAGTGCTGGGCTAGAATTTATGATTGTCCTGCCTCAGCCTCTAGAGTGCTAGGACTCCTGGGGTGGGGTGGTGGTGGCGGTGCACTTCTGTGATCACAGCACTTCGGAGGCTGAGGCAGGAGGACCTCCGAGTTCTAGGCCAGCCTGGGCTACGTAGTGAGTTCAGGGCCAGCTTGAACTGCCTAGTGAGACCCTGTCTCAAAAAAAACAAAGTTGATAAAAAGGCCAGGGGTATAGCTCAGTGGTAGAGCATTTGCCTGGCATGCCAAGGCCTGGGTTCAGTCTGTAGTCCTACAAAAGAGCAAAAACAAAACAGAGTGCTGGGATTACAGATGTGTGCCTAGCTCGTATAGTCTTACTTTTCGCTTAACTTTTTTTCTTTTAGTAGACTTTAAGACGTTTCATTTTATTGTGTTATACTTTTAAATTGCCTTTTTTATATCACTATATCAGTTAGGAAAAACGGGTTTGGGGCAAAAGGCGTCTTACCCCTGCCTGATCTTCTGTCATCAGAGTAGGGGTGAGGGGAGGCCAGGTTTGTGAACGGAACATAAAGGAGTGCGGATATTCAAAGGAAGTTACCAGGTTAGGTATGGCAGAAAGGAGGGGATATGCTGTCAAAGACAGTGTCTGGTTTTTGTTTGGGGTATTTTTGGGGGGACAGGTTCTCTGTGTAGCCCAGGCTGGCCTGGAACTCTGCAATGCTCCTGCCTCGGCCTCCTGAGAGCTGGGGTTACAGACATGGGCCACCAGCTCCGGCTAAATTCTGGGATTTAAACCAGATGATAAAGGGGCGGAGAGGCCGGCTGGGCTCAGGAGGAAGGGAAGGAACTGATGAGGGGTCTGCTGGGCCTGGCGCCCTTGGGGAGAAAGCGACCAGCAAGTGCCCCAGGGGGCGAGGAGAGGAGGCTGAGGGAGGGCCCGGGGCTCACGTGAGGGAAGGAGCCACATCTCCAGGAGACAGGGGTACAGCCGCTGTGAGTCCCTCCTCACTCTACCGCAGTGAATTCCCGTGGAGGGCACTTGTTTCCAGGGCAGTCGGGGGAGGTTCCACCTGTGGCTGAGCTGGGCAGAAAGCCGGCCCCGAATGAGTCGCCTGGCAGAGTCTGACAGCTTCCCTGATGAGTTTTAAGTGGGTCCAAAAATACGCTTCAGTGCTTTTGTTCTTTTATATTGTTGGCAGTTCTGGGAATCCAACCCAGGGCCTCAAGGGACGCACACTACC